CTGACTGGTATCTTCGTCGTCGTTGCGTCGGTCTTCGTCAGCCGTCGTTGTGCTGCCACGCCCACGGCTGGCAGAGGGCCATGAACGGGTTCTGATCACCGACTTTTCGCAGTCTCTCTCAGTCCCCCCAACAGTCTGCGCCGCCCTTGGTAACTCAGGCGATGACCGAGCCGATATAATTTTCGATGGCGTCAACACCACGAGTGGCAAGTGGATAAATTTTATGGAGTCTTGCCACGGCCTCTACCCTCCTCATTTCTGAACCGTGCTTGGGATAGTCAACGGCGTAGTTGCGTTCGCATTCATCCAATGCAAAATGTATGGAAACCTCTACATAGAGGGTAGTCCGCTCCATCCTGCGCAAGAGACTCTATCCATCGATGATGATAACGTAATGAAAGTGCCAGCCGCTTGACAATGAGAGGCACGACCAACATGGCCAACAAACTTAATAGATTTGCGGAGTACTTTGGAAATTTATCCTTACAAATATATGTCAATCAAGGATTTATTGCACAAATAGTCGACGATTCGACCGTATAACGACGACCTTCTTCGAAGCGATGCCTTAAAAAATGTATACTGTAGTTTACTGTATCCTCTAATTAAAGCAACTTGACGTTATCAATATTGCTGTAACACTTACTAGTTATGCATTGTCCCGAAATAAAGCCCTTGCTGCATGGCTAAACATCAACTCTTTGTGCAATGAAGCCTTGTTCAACATAATTCATCAGCCTTACTTCGCATTCAATGCCTCTGAATCGGAAATTTAGAGAATTTAAATTCACAAAACTTACTACCGCTAGGAAAATTCACTCTATCCTGCGAAATTGTTTCAAGTAAGCGCACTTTGCTGACTACCCCGGCCTGCTACCTCAATGTCGCTTTGTTGGAATGGAGACACTTCCCCTCCCCCCTCAACCCCCTCATCCAGAAAGTTTCTCTTCCCGAAACGCCACGGTACCATCCTTTAGCAGTTACCGGCGTTCTGTAGTACTTTTACTGTTTGAGAATGACAACCGCCTCATGTAGATGGAGTTTTCTGAAATTTCATTGGCTTAAATTCTAAAACAGAAGGAATAGCCTGGATAATTGCGTTGTTTTCATAAGAGGCAACGCAACTTATACCGCACCTAACAATCAAATTTCTTCTTACGGTCAGCTCAAGTTTTGTTTATGACGGTAGAGTAGGCAGTTATGAAGATGTTGCCCGTTAAGTTGTATTGCAGCGATCGCATCAAAAGATTCACATTAGATGAATCCAAAGACCTGTATTTGCAGCTGAACCACACGGCGAAGTTGATTTTTCCTGATTTGGATCCAGAGAAGTCCAGATTCTTTTGGAAAGGTAGTAATTTGTTCGTGAATCATGTGATGCGTCTTTCAGGTTTGCTTTTTATCACCCTGTTATTATCATTCAGTACTGGTTAGTTTCAGATTTTTTCATCATAGCTCACTGCAGTCTCAGCCATTTGATCATATTGATAGTTTATGCCGCATTTTTGTAAATTTCTCATCTTGGGGAAAAAATATGAACGATTTTTTAAAAAATATACACGCGCTTTTACCAGCTTAATCTCTGTCATGAAATGGAGATTCCGTGTCGTTGAGAACTAAGCGAGCCGACACAAAACTGTTTATAATAATCAGATTTGCTCATATATAGTCTGATAGAAAAACTGTTGAAATGTCGGTCTACATTTTGATGACGGCTCTTTTGGCACCCTTCTTTCATGATGCTGATGGCGCGGTTTCTATTCCATCAGCCAGGAGTGCTTTACTTTAAAGGCAGAAACAGCAGTCATGTGACAAGCGTAGCATGTGGTCTCCTGTTTCTTTCCCACAGAATGGTACTCATCTATGAACCCCGGATAAAAGATGGGCGACCCCTACCGGGGCTTGAATTTGGCAGTTAGCGGTTCTGAGTTCGGCACTCTTCCGACTGAGCAACTCCGGCCTAAGACAATGTGTTAATGTGTTTTTTCTCAGTGGAATTCGTGAACAGACAAAAAGTACCTTCTAGCGGAATTGAACCCGGTACTGTTGGAGTTCGAGTAAGATCTTTTAAACACCGTGCCAACCCACCAGCGATGAGTACAAAGTGAACTGCGCTTCTTAAAACGTTCAGATGGGATTACGGTCAATATGCCATGTGGAAGACGTTGCACTATTATATATGCTTCCTTCATAGTCTTGTTTCACGACATGGAAGAGTGCATTAGTGCAAAGTACGGCCATTTAATTTTCAAGGAGCAGGGGACGGTTTATTAACACTTGTGCGCAATCAATGATTGTTAGTTATGAAGCAGCTGTGCAAAGTTTTGCTGTAGAAAAATTGAAAAATTTAAATTATCATGGAAGTAACATGTGAAAAGCAGTAAGTATAGAGCTTTAAAATTTAATGGGACAAATGTATTCTCGTTTCATCAACTTCTTAAGGCAGTTAAGAAGATATGTTCATCTTGGGGGAGGGGAGCGATGGTTGAAAGCACTTCAGACTTGCAGTTAAGAAGTCGCCGGACGCAGAGTGGTTCGAACGTTTGTTGCTTGATAAAAGTGTCTGATTGTCGCTATGAACCTATCACATATTATATATTAAGTGTAAAGGTTGGTAGAAAGCAATGACAGTGTATTTTTAGATGAAGAAGGCGATTTGATATACATCACCTGCGACGAAGATATGAAGGAGGGCATTAGGTGTATGCAAGGCAGCACTACATTCCGTATCTTCTTTTTTAACGATGAGAAAGAAGACAATGTTGGATTGAAGAACTTGACATTTTCCTCGTCCAGTTATCCAGACAGGCGTGAACGAACAACAGTACCTGGAATTATCTGCGATGGCTGCAATACCGAGGTGGTCACTCCTCGTTATAAATGCCTGATTTGTCCAGATTACGATCTTTGCTTCAAATGTGAAGCGAAGGGAGTACATGATTATCACCCCATGGTTAGAGTTATGGGAAGAGACGGCTTTGCAACCTTGGTATGTTGTACTCGAAATGCGTTGGCTAATTCATACTTTTGCGCATAGATCCGTTTGTTGCCAACCATCTGTCAACGCATAACTGCGAAAGCACCAGACATTCATTCGATTCTCAGATCACCCCAAGATTTCCTCAAGTCTGTTGGAAATAGCATTTCGGAATTGTTGAACAAATTCGGTGAGTTCGCATGAGGCGATCGGTACAGCGTTTAGCACCAGTCTTTATCATCTGTTCGACCGATGAGCGACTACTGATTCACCATTAGATTACTGTTAGATGCTAGTGAACACGATGTATCGAGTCTGTTTTAGGTATCGATACTACTGTCGATGTTGAAACAAGTGGTTCAGCAGAAAGACCAGAAGACGACGAGGCGAATGGAAAGTCATGTTCGGGATGCAGTGCAACTGCGCCAGCGCAACAAGGCTGCGTCGATGTGGAGAAAAAGGCAGTTGTGTCTGATACAGATTTTCCTCGTGCTGCGCCGATTAACACTGTGAGAGTTTTCAAAACGTTTTGCAGTTATATTATTTTGATACTTTAGGAAGCTGAAACTGAAGTAAACGGATGGAGCTGGTTGGAGAATTCAGAAAATCAGAATTCTTCTCAACCTCCACTGAATGTTGCTAGAATTTATGCAACTCAATCGCATCAGACTCTCGGTACTTCTAAAA